TACTATTAATCATCAACCATCTTTTGCAAAACTTATTGTTAGTAACTCACAAAAAAGAACGTAACTTTTTTTACGAGAGACGTATACATAAGTGTCTTATACCTGCAAACGTTTGCCCTGCAACGCGAAAAGTATCAGCTGTAACGGAACTTGCAAAACGGCGCTCAATTGGCATCCTAGTTTCATCACAAGTAGCGAGTTGTTTATAGGTTTATAGAGCGTCCATACCGCCCCAATGTTAAATGTCATTGAATTCACGCAACCAAAATATCGAATGCCACTGCGAAGAACGCTTCGTTGCTTCGTTGCGTTCGATGGCAGCGGCCAACAGCATGCGAACGTCAAGTATACTCTCACAAACACGAATATTTTATCCAGCGTTATTTTATCCTTCATAATAACACACGGAAGTGCAACTCACAATGGACATTCAAGCAGGCCTAATACGAACTTTAATCATCCGCATAAGATTATTTATTCGTGTAAATACTGTAATAACACTGTCGTGAGGCGCCAAGCATTGCGCGTTGCATAAAATATAAGCAACATTATCTATTACATCCTATATTTGGAGCAGAATACATCAATTTTCGAGGAATTTCAATGTACGTGATACTCTATTAAAAAACATTAAGCTATTTGGATGACATTGATTACAATTCTACAAACCAGTCTTTTAAAATTTAAGTATTAAAAAAATAATATAATTAAATATAATTTAAGTATTGACAAAATCTAGTTTTAATATCGCAAGCTTCTCTAATTTCGATATTTTTATGCAATTACGTGATGTTTTCATAAGTCACACATGTTAAACATAATTCGAAACACTGATATCTTTTGAAGTTGCGAAAGTTGTTTTACTTTCGGAAATGCGGAAGCCTATTTGTAGAACACTTGAATTGCTCATTATTCCTTTAAGATTATTCGACAGACTGCGGGAGAAGTTTCACGTATAATATTGGAGTAAAACAGCATTTATGCGAAAGTGCTGACGATCTTAGTTGCTACGATTGATTATTACCTGGAAAGTTGTCTTTACAGAGGAATAATTTTCCTCGGTATTGATTAAACACTTTGTCTTGAAATGCTTTTTCCATCACATAAGAAAATAAACGTCATTAATTAATCATACGTATCGAACCTAACATCAGCACAAACTTACAAGCACTTCCAGATATTACATTGCTTTTATGTAATTACAGTCTAATAGTATACGTAATTGTCTAGTAATAATTAAATCCAACACGATATACTATAATTAGCAATGAAACGGAATTACAGAGTCCCTTCTGGTAATTGACTACAAGCTATTATAACAAGCGTAGTATACGACTTAAGGTAAAGCGAAATCAATTCATTGTCGGTAGTGATATGATATAGACGGAAAGAAATAACTCGTATAATTTATTATACGTTATTATAATACGCAGATCTTATTTTTCAGAAATCCACTTTTTGATAATTACTAGATACAATTATTATACAAGAACTATTCGTATTTTACATAAGTGTATCAGCATCGTTCAATCATCATCTTCTTCAAGTAAAACTCGAAACGTGGCTAGATAGGAGAAAGCAGTCGAGATGTACTAAAAATGTTTTAAAAATTATAAATGTTTGATTTTGATAATTTAGGTAATTAATCGTGTTGTTTATTAACTTATTTAAACTTATCTCACTTATTTAAAAATTTTGTCACAAGCAAACCGGTATATAAATATATATTTATTTATATTTTTGTTATAAAAATAAAGTATTATCTATAGAATATAATTAACAAAAATATATATAAGAATAACTCTCTCTCTCTCTCTAAACAACTTATTATCTATATTTTTTAAATAAAAGCAAATAAAAATATTTGTGCAAGATAATTTAGTACGACAATATCTCAAACACGTATCTCATTAAATAATGCAAAAATATTCATATTTATAAACACAAAAATACTATAATAAAATCAGTGACTCACTGAGGCATAATAATTTAACGAAACAGTCGGTAGCATGCAGGGTACGTTTACAGCTATAGGTTTTTGGCCACGTAATAAAGTGTGCATAAAATTCTTCTGAAAATCAACCTTCCCGTTATACCACATTGAGTCATACGCAGCGTGAGTAATATCAGTGCTCTACAATATTAAGTTTTAAATATATATATATATATATATATCGTATCTTTTTATCGCACATCTCTACATTTATAAGTATAACTTACTGCACTTAGCAGGTGATCAGCTGGCCACGCGCACAAATATACTTTTGCGAGAGATGAGATAAAGAAGATTAAAAATGTTGATTTTACCGACATTGGTTGTCGCTAGTAAAAGAGAAAACTATAATGAACAATGTAGGTAGCTTTTAATACTATATTTATGCTTTGTCAAACAATATAGAGATGTTTTCTAAATTATACGATACGTATGAGAGAGTTAGGGCCACCGCACAAGCTTTTCCGTAACACGTTACGTTACGTTAAGTACCGACCGTAAACCTAAATTCGTACGTAATCTTAAACTTCAGTCAACGCACTTTTCAAAGAAAATCGTAATGTAGTATGCTTTTGTTACGTTACAATATATTTTCTTTGTGCGTTGACTGAAGTTTAAGATTACGTACGAATTTAGGTTTACGGTCAGTACTTAACGTAATGTGTTATGGAAAAGCTTGTGCTGCGGTGGCCCATATTTTGTATAAACAAGTGCAATCATGTGTAAAAGAAAAACTTATTAGAATAATGTAAAATATAATAGTAACATATTATAAGAGGTTTTTGTTTAGTGCTTAATAAATAAAAAATGCAAAAATACATTTTTATAAAATATACACTTGTATTTGCACATTTCATTAAATAAGGATAATAATTATACTCACGCTAAGAAAAGTGCAGCCAGTAAATATGATAACTATTGTACTAACAGCCAGCGATGTTAACATCACATATCGAATAGAAAGAGTTACTTTCTTTCCATACCTGAAACGATACATCTATTTTTATCAAGATCTTGTAATTATGCGACTAAAAATATTTTATAATATTAAAGCAATAAATCAGTAATGTAGTGAAATAAAAACATAAACGATTAGCATAGACCGGTACACAAGATATATGTTGTGTATCTTTTCGAAGAAAATATCCTGCGAATAAAATTAAAAAAATAACTTGCTTGGAAAAATTATTTTTTGTGCAGATAATTTTATTTAAAAAAAAAGTGATTAATTCATTATTTCCAACTATTGTCCGAGAAACTCAGTTATTCGTGTAAAGAATATATTGTAGCGTCTCTCACAAAGTTTTATTACTCCATATTACTCTCTGTACTTATATTTACTCTATACTCTATTCAGTACAAAACACTGCCGTGTCTTTTTATATTTGGCGCATCTATTTCTTACATTTTTAATGTATCTTATAAATTTATTTCATATACTTTTTCAAATAAAAGAAAAGAAGACAATAGAAAACGTAAGAATAAGACAAAGATAAGCGACAAACGGTAAGAAAAGCCAAAAAGTGCAAACAAAGAGAATAACAAGATATATATATATATATAATATAATATAATATAATATTGTTTATTATTTACCAGAGTAATTCTTGATGTTCTTCTACACATGCATGTAATTCGGCAAATTTCGTGACTGCTCGAAATCTGCTGGATAAGATATCACATCTCGCTGACACAAACCACAAGAGAAGGGCAATGAAAATGTTTGCACATACCTGCGTATAACTTTGATATATAAGTAGTATGTGATGTAAATAAATGATAATCTTCAAAGGTTGGTAGTCCACGAAAAACGGATATTCTATATCGATGGGAAACGGATGCGGTTCTATGACAGGACTAAGAATAAAAAGTAGACCGGTAACAGTGAAGGCGCATATTGAACCTACATAAATTAATTTACAACTATCAATATATTGATGAAAAACATTCCTCTCTTTTGGTTTCGCACGCTTGCAATAATCCTCCAATTCATAAATCACATACTGCAATTGAATCATTGAATATTAGATGAGCAGCAAATATTCATGACATGAACAAAAATATGATTGCATATTATTTTGCACATAATATAGTTTAAATTTGATATTAACTAGTCTTTTTCTTTTGTACAGAAATATGTATATGTGCGTGTATATATGAATCGGGATTAATAATTTCAAAATATAATTTTTATAAAAAAGCAAGACATAATGATATAAACAATCGAGTAGTAAATAACTCATTTTTTAGATATTAAATATGTAACATTATTGATAAGTTGCAAATAGTTTAATTTATAACTTGAGTAATATTGATGCATTTAAATAAAAATAAATTATTGTCATTTCGCGAAAGATAGCAATAAATAAATACGTGAGTAAATATATATAATTTTTTCTATTTTTTTACTATTAAACTGTGTATGTCAATTAAATATAATATTGTTTAAATTCTTACCTGGAGACGATCGTACTGCATCGAGAAGCAAATTATTTGTAATGGAACCTCTGCAGTGGTGCATAACTCGCAGCATAATTTCATTATCAAAAATAAATCTGACCGATTAGTATAAATTGTATATATTATCGCAATCACCATGATCAATCCGTGCAAGACAGAAAGACAGCGAAATATTTTGTTACGTATTATTTCCCATTTTGTAGCAGTTGGTGGTAATGGCCAGCAACATGCAAATAACAAATCGGCCTTCAAAAACGCGATAAGTTTCTCTATTGTCAGTGTATTTGCCATTACAAATATTAGATCTATCCTCTTATATTATCGTTACATGCGTATACACACGATTTGAACTGACTTCGTCGACGGAGAGTAGCATTTCGCGCAGGATACGTATTATATTTAATTTATCATCAACGTGTATACCGCACAGCTGTAAGCATAAAACATTTTAGATAATGTAATGCACGTAATCCCCCTGATGCACATTTCCTGCTTTGCAGTTTTGCTTCTGGCAGAGCCATGTGTGTAAGTTCACAAATTATGCAACTAGCGAATTATAATGTATCGAGGGCTGAGCCCTATCGTAATGGTACAATTATTTTCTTACTTCCCTAGGCACAATCGTAATTATGATAGGCATAGAATGAGGGATAAGAGGGAGCAGTATAAAGCAAAATATAATATAGTCATAAATAACACCTTCAGTATTATAGTACAAAGCTAGTGTGTCACATAATTTCTTTTAAAAAGTTTATCTAACATATATTTGATGTATTTTATTGTGAATGTGTGTGATTTTTCTTAATAAAAATTATTATTAATTTCTTTAGATTTTTTACATTTATAAATTTACAACTTTATTTGTAGAGAAATGTAGTGAGAATAATTTTCAAATTATTTCGTCATTTACATTTACATTTATTGTTAGGTTGCTTAAATTTATTTTTTATTATTGTATGCTCTATATTTAAGCTTTTTACAAATAATGATAATATATAATTATATGTTTAACTTATACGTATTAATTCCTTCGTTGATTCTATATAATAATTTATGTATGATATTATAGTTAAAAAAACTTTATAGAGATTTATATTTACACATAATTAGTAGATTTATCAGTTATATTCCTAATTAGTAAAGAATAACAGTAATCAATTAAGAAATATAAAAAATAATTTATCGTATGTTATTTATCATTAAATATCCATTAATCTATCTAATAATAATAAAATAAAATAACAACGAAAAAACTTATATAATTATTTTTATTAATACACGAAATTTTATTTCCATGTACAATACTGGTGCTTCTCGATTTATTCTTTATACAATCAAAAAAATCTAACGAAATTAATTTTCTTTTCGCATTATCCTGTGTTATCTTCAGAAAGAATTATTCGAAATGTTGTAAGAAAAGAGAATGCCGTTGAGACGTACTGCAAAATTATTTTAAAAAACTTTTAAATACAAATAAGACATGCATAGCAAAATTATTATATATATAAATAATACGTAAATTATCAATACTTATAAAATAAAAAATAAAATATAAGAAGTTGAAAATACAAAATGTACAAAGATTAAATAATCAAAATCATATTAAATCAAATAACTAGTGTAATAAAAAGTAAAATGTTTCTCTTACAGAGGTATAATGTTGGAAAGTTAAAGCTGCTAGTAAACCAGGAACTGTTATAATTACAGGTCGCTGACAGCGGAGCAAAACGTATAACATAACTTTCTGTGAATCAATTCCATGTTTATACCATAACGAATCATATGCAGCATCCCCGATGTCTGAACTCTATGTAAAATATTTTTTAAGGTCTTTGAATATATACTACATATATACACTACAACATATTTATATTTCTTTTGATCGGTTAATTTTATTTGTCAAAACTTACTATAGTCATCAAATAATCAGCCGGCCAAGCGCATAAAAGTACCTTCATCAATGATGAGATACATACAACAATGAACTCTGCTTTTGCGGATAACGGTAGCCGCTATTTAAAAAAATGTGAGATTTATTATTGATAAAAATTATAAAAACATCACAAAAATATGTCACTAATATATGATGTTGTTCTTGAGATATACATATAGGATAAAATGTTAATATCTGAATATATTAATGTTTGAACGTTTTATTTTTTTCTTCTGTATTCGCTTTGTTTTTATTCTTATTTAGAAAACTTTTTTAATTTCTTTAAACGTTTAGTTTTCTACATGTTACAGTGGAGAATGCACTTTGTTACTTAAAAAAAAATTATATTCTAATATATGGAATATACACACGCTGAGAATGGTAACACCGCCAAATACTAGTGAATAGCTGCTAATACCGAGTGATGATAACACTACGTACGAAATAGATAAGCTCATTTCTTGCGCAAACCTGTAATATATTATACGATAGTAATTTTGTAACTAATTAATTAAATATGGCAAATAAATGTATACTCTCTAATATATTTTTATATAATATAAAACTATATAAACATCATACAACCATATATGATTTTACATTTCTAAAATTTGTTTACATTAATTATACTATGACTTTTTGATAGTTTAAAATATATCAGATGGTTGTAGAAAAGAATTCAATATGACTATATAACAAATGTTTTAAGCACAAAATTAATAAATATTAATCGAAGATTTTAAATGATTAGACTAATTGTTTATTTCTGATATGAACTATTAACATACTGTAAGAGTTCTTGATGTTCTTTAATACATTTTTTCCAGTCGGAGTATTTCGTAGCTGTACGAAACTTGTGGGATAAGATTTCAAACCGCGCAGATGTGAACCATAGTAAAAGGGCAAGAAAAACGTTAGAGCTCACTTGACAATAACCTTGATATATTCCGAACGTATGATGCAAATACACGATTGCTCGCAATGGATGCTGATCAACAGGAAATGGATACTTTATTACGAGCGGTAACGAATGAAATCCAAAAAATAGTGGCTCTAAGATTGAATTGAACAGCGCTACGGTAATCATGCCTAATATCGTTATATAAAAGTATACGTATTTATCAATGTATTTTTGAAATACATCCTTCGCTTCTGGTGTCGCCTGGTGATAATAATCTTCCATTTGGAAAATTACTGCCTACGCAATTAAGAAAGCAATACTTAATTTAAGATACATATGTTTCTTTTGTTAAAATTAAATTTTATATAAGAAAAATAGAAATGTGTCATTTTCAATTAATATATCTCAGAAATTAATAATAAAAAAATTTAACGGCACTTTTGTGATATAATGTCGATATGACCTGTCATTGCGATAATACGAATAAAATTGATAAACATAAATCCAAAATCTCAAAATATGAAATGTCAAAAATTTAGAAATAATTCGGTTTTACAAACTGATATGCATACACGCAATGATTTTGTTACGTTTTATCAAGTTATATTCACAACTGTCGTGTATGTTTCTCGCATCTCTTATCAGTAAATAATGAAAAATGAATTTTCAACCGCGTTAAAGCTGTGACAATATTAGATGTGATATAAACATTATATTATTAACCATTTTAAACATTCTAATAATATAATCAATATAAAAAATAAATGTTAAAAATAAATATATTAATAATTTTGTATGTATATCTATTAATTTACTTTTTCAATTAAATTTTAATTAAATTCATTGTCATCTGTTTTTTTTATTATTTTATAATTTTTAACACTAAATATTTTAATGATAAAGCCGTATAAATTAATGTTCTATTAAATATATGCATTATTCTTTATATTTTTAGTATTATTAAAATAATTGATAAAAATAGAAGAACAATTATAAAATAGAAAAATATATACGAGAGTGGATAAAAAAATAACTTGTTTTATTTGTGTTTTTTGTTTTATTTGTAACTTGAGTTTAAAACCTCTGTCTGTTATTTTGAACCAAGTTATTTTTCGATCCACCCTCGTATATGTATATTGAAATTAAATGCATAAAATATAAATGTAACAATATATTGTATGAAAAATTGCATAAATAATGGATAAAAATTAGAATAATAATTATTTAATTAGTAGTAATTACTAAATGATTTCCAGTTTTTTACTTGCAAACGGTCGTGCTGCAGAGTAAACAATAGTATTTGCAACGGAACTTCAGATAATAAACCCACTGCGACGCTTGATTGCATAAACATTTGAACATTATCAATACGATAAATAATTGTATATATTAGCTCGATAATCAACAATATTGCGTGCAAGCTTGAGACTAGACGAAATATTTTATCACAAACGATTTGAAATCTTGTTGCGTCTCGCGATACTGGCCAACAACAGGCAAATAATAAATCCACCTTCAGAAATGCAATAACTTTCTCTAACGTAACCTTCTTCATATTAATCGAGGCTGCCTCTCTCGATAAACAATCATGCGTTCCGGTTGAATTATTTCAACCGGAAGTATATATCGTTGTATGTTATATATCCTTGCAATATTCTCACAATCTTACAAAATACTCCGTATATTGGATAAAAAGATTCAAGAGAAATATGGGAAACTATTACATGAAAAGAAATATGCTTTCTTTTGTATGCCAATAGCATAAAATATTGCAAAGTGCATATTATCACATTTAGATGAAATTATACTTACTGATTATTACTTACTCTTATTTTCCTATCTTTGGAGCTTATGCGTGAACGAATATATTAATAAATTATGCGGACGACTTAGAAATATACCAGCTATAATGTTCTATAGCAGTTTTCTCTATCGTGAATTATTATCATAATAATGTTTCTCTTGCAGTCTACGTTGGTTGAAATGGTATCGTGTAAATGGAAACGCAGATACACAAGAGAATTTTATTAAGTGTAAATATTTCTTTATTTGATTTTTGCAACATCTATCGAATAATTTTTAAACGTAGTAAAGAAGACAACAGAAATATTAGATAGCTCAAAATTTCCAAAACAAACAAAAAATATCTATTTGATATTTATAAATATTATTATATGTATTTAAACAAAAGAAAAGAAGCTAGAACATAATAGAATTTTTAATGGTTTATTATAAAGTAATAATTAGATTGATAATATATTGATATACGATACGGTGTCTTTTATTTGTTTTATTTATATAAACAGACACAAAGAGTAAAATAAAATATAGATAAAAGCATTATTTTTGGATTACTAGCAAGATAAAAATTCATATTTTCGTTCCAAGAAATACCGAACGTACGTTTTGTCCGATTTATATTTATAATTACTGTTTTATATTCTTTAGTTCTATTTACATATGGATCCACATTATATTAACTAGACTTTGAATACTTATAGTAATTATATAGCACGGTCAGATATAGATTTCAGTTTAAAAAATTGATAAACTGCTCTTGATGCTTGAGAGGCGTTATTGATGAATCAAATAAATTTGCATAAAGTATCAAACTTAAAAATATTCGAACAAGCATGTAGAACGAATGCAATGCAACATTTAACGTTTATGTAGATATTTTCATGATAAACGGAAAATTGTTTTCTTCGCACATATGCGTATTTACATATATCTGCAGACGCGCTTAGAGAAATAGCAGATAATATTAAACACATGGTATAATGATAGAACTGCAATTAATGTTTTAACGAGATATCGTGAGATAATATTGATATTTCACAAACACGCTTTATTCAAGTAAAAATATATAAAACTCAATTTTATATTTATTAAGGCTCCTGAGTAGTCGACGCGGCCATATTGGAATGATGACGTCAGAAGCGAGAAATGACACGCTTAGAATTCTTGCGTGCCATTTTTAAATAAAAAGATATTTTAAAGAAACAAGACTACAGATCGCTTTAGTATACTCGTAAAATTGTCCGAAAACTAAGCTTTTCCTTTGACAATTAATAAATAACCGTAAAATGAGTGTCAAAGTAAGCCTAGTCATACGGGAAAACATGTAGTTTGACAGCTGTCAAAAGAAGTGGAAAATGTTTTTTTTTTTTACATAACACTTTTCTTGCTAAGCTTAGTTTTCTATGTGTCACTTAATAGCTAATAAAATATCATAAAGTTGGCCTAAATACTTGAACAATGGCCAAAAAATTATCAAAAAAAATTGATTTTTTTCTATCAATTACCACTTCGATTGTTAAACGCGAGTCTAGTACTTTACAAATTACTCTGCTAAGAAGCTCGATAATGGATATGTAAGACGGAGATCTATACACACGTACACGCGATCCAAACTGCGAAAAATGACACGAGTCTAGTTATATATCGATGAATCATGGGGCAGCGCTCGATTGCGAAATTGAACGCTCGAAACACGCACTAGGCGAAACGAGTGCGTACGTGACCCTCATAAAATTCAAACACAATCGATCGTATTATCTCTCGCGCGCATTATTACGCCCGATATACTAAATTTTTGTAGACCGAATTAGCGAAACGAGGAGAAACAAACGAGCGATCGTTTTTCAAGACGGAAATCGCCAACGGCTTAAATAAGAAAAATGGTTAATTATGGCTTTTGTATTTTCCATACAAGATTATATATCACAAGAAAAAAAAAAGACATAGAAAATGTCTATTAAAAATTAAAACTAATTTTGTACTTGAAGCATAAAGATGCATAAAGAACACAATGTCACGTCAGAGAACTAAAGAGCAAAGCCGGTCGTAGATGGCGGATTTATCAGATTTTATATTTGTTTACGGAAGAAACTAGGAAATATTCCTTAATTAATTCCTAGTTCATTTTACGTTTCCAAATTTAGCTTTCTTAATTGTAGACGCTTCACAAGGTGTGTAAACCAAATTGATTTACTGTTGACAGAATGGATAGAGAATCGTGGAATCATTTCGATTGCGAACAATCGTTTATCGCAACAATGCAACTTGCGTAATTCTAATAAACGCGAAAAAATTTGCAACTTGTTCTTTCCAAAACCGGACGTGGATGGTGGAATTGAGAGACGCAAACGTAATCTTGACGACGCATTCATAAGAGGATCTGTTGCCACTTCGACCCCGATTGGTTTACCCGGAGAACTCGTGCGAAACGCACGAGAAACGAAGGTGCGCGGATTATGCAAGACACGAAATTAATAACGGAAAGCCGGAGCATACTTATAATGCGTTTTTTAAATGCATGTCGGACAATTGAAAGTTAGGAAAGTGAAGGAGAAAAATTCTTTCGCGGCCGCATGATCAATGATGCTTGATCATCCGCGTTGCAATTATAATGCACTGCGTGGTATCGTTAATTCCGGATTTGCACTCGTATTACTCGACAATAATTTCGAACTTACGATCGAAAAACCAATTTGACCATCGTTTTTTTCGCCCATGCATATTAACATTTTATGATGCCGAACTTCGCGTTTTTCTCAATTCTTACGAGATTTCTTATAACGCTCCACAGCAGTTTAACGACGTGTAAAATTATGAAGGAATCGTGCAGCATCGTGCACAAGTGGGAGTATGTTTGCATAACAGGTTGTCCTGCGCTAAAGAAACGGCCAAAGGTGAGTTTTATGGAATTTAAATAACGAAAAGTATTATAGCAAGATTCTGCACCAAAACAAAGAATGATTAAAAATGCAGCAAATGATTATTTTGAAAGTTATAAGTCAATCGTCCTGAATATAGAAGATTGAAGTACACGAAGTAATAAAAGCGCGCGTAGAAAAAGGATTAAACAATGGTCATCATTCATAGCTATAAAAAAAAATTATACCATTGATTAAATGTGCGTATTTTAAGACAAAAGTTCAAGACTTATCAGGTTTAGATTTCTTCCGTAATATCCGTTACGCTTTTATCGTCAAGTACCGCGATCATTTACTTACGCCAGAAGACAGCTGAAATATTCACACGTGGATACAATGCATCGTTCCGCCTGCACGAGATACACCGTATCTAATACAAGACGCCTAAAAGTCTTCGATGTTTCCTCGAAGGAGCGCACCGCGCGCGTTTCTTATATCACCTCGGACACTAACAAAGATATAGGGTGTCGCCTGGTGGACAGATAATCGCATCGCGCCAGGTTTAAGGTGTCTCACCATCTGGAGGTTGGCCGAGATATTGCGTTACGTTAATGCAGCACCAACTACAATTCCTTTACCGTAGACGGTGATCAATTACAAACAGCCGTGTTGTTCAATTG